TGTTGAAATATATTTTTAAAAATTTACAAAACTAAACATCCTACAATATTTTTACAGTCTTTATTTTACAGTTAAAATATATGTTTATCCAATAAAGTCTAATGTTACAACTAATCGGGGATCCCTTTAGTGTGTTAGGGAGGATGCTCAGCTACTACCCCAGCAGTCACAGCTCAGAGTTATCACGTGGTCAGTTTGTCCCAGCTGTGGTCAGCTATAACAGCCTGTCCCTGCTTTCACACAGCCCCACCTTCAGCTTCCATCCTCCCATCAACCCCGTGGCCTATCAGCAGCTGCTGTCGCAGCAGAGAGGCCTGAACGCCTTCAGCCACACGCCTCCTCTCATCCCGCCGGCGCCGGCCTCCTTCTCCGCTCGCCAGCACCCGCTGAGCGCCACGCCCATGTCCGCCGCCCACAACAACTCAGAGACCAACCAGGTACGCTTGTTTTATTTAACTAAATGATTTTCCTGTTCTTCTCCTGACGGTCTGATGAAGAGGATGAAGAGTTTCAGCTGTAGTTTGACAGATTAACATCTGGATCCAGAATCAGGAAGTAGTTTTTATAAATAAGGTCTTCGTCAGAAACCTGCAGCTCCGTCTCTGTCTGTGACCGTCCCTCTGACTGAATATTAAGGGGATTCTGATGTTATCAGTCCATGAAATGGACGTTATTAGGCATTATCAGTCCCATGCAATGGCTTCAGAGGGTCCCTACTCTGCCTTCTAGGCTTCAGACTGTCCCGACAGTGCCCCCTAGTGGGTTAATATATCAATGACAATGAATGTGTGAATAACCATTTAAGCAAAACATATTTTAATACATTTTTTGTCCTTGTCTGGTGATGTTCGTTGCTCTTGCTGTCCATGTCGGACTCAAACCCTGGTCTCCTGCTCTGTGGTCTGCCACTCTACCCATTGCCCTATTAGAAGGCCACGTTACTGATCCCTGGGAGGGCGGTGTCTTTGGCGCTAACCATGACATTTTCTCTAAGGTTAACCTTAGTGGCTTTTTGCCTCATGTTAACCGGTTTTTATATGTCTCATATTAACCAGATGGTGGTTTTATGCCTCATATTAACCAGCTGACAATCAGAAGCCATTCTATGGGACTGATAACACCTAATAACGTCCATTTCATGGATGATAACATCCGAAGCGGGTGCAATATTCCCACCTCTCTTCCTGAAATCTTCCATCTCTCACAGCTCTGATCAGAACCACATTCCTCCTCTTTTTACTTCGAATTAACGACCGAGGCCGGAAGATATCGCCGAGCGGCGTCTGGGTGGGATTAGAGGGCCCCCCCTCCGGTGCTGGACTCTCTCCAGCGCCTTAGCGGCGCTCGTTTATGTCATTCCTCTGGAGCTTTAACAGGCTCTCCGAGTCTTTGTCTTTCTGTCACGTTCACATCAAAGCTGGGCTAATAACTCTTCTCCTTTCACGTTTTATTTCTTGTGGTTTTTGCCATCATAAAGAAGTCTAAACTGTTTAGTCTTGGCGGCGGGTCGCAGACTTCTGGTGCAAACGGGACCCCTGATGTCTGTTCACAGTGAACCAAGGAGGAATAAAGGGGCTCTAATAACTTCAGGGTTTGAATTTTCCCTCCCTGAAGTTTGGAAAGCTGTTTAATCAGCTGAGCAGAATGAAACAAAGCATCGATAGCTTCTTAGCTTGAAAAAAAGACAAAGTGAGCATTGTTTCCATAAACACTGCTGCAGTAAAAACACCTGACCTTTAACCTTTACCTTCTTTTTGTTTTCATGCTCAGAACGCAAGCGGAGATCCAGCAGTAAGCAGCACCGTCAATCCTTTAAACACCAAAAAGTCAAAGGTCAAAACTGAAGCAGAGGGTCCGCTGCCCATTTCTCTGTCCTCACAGGTGAGACCTGAATCCAGACGGAGCTTACCTGTAAATACAGAAATAAATGACCTTCACACAACATCTCTAGCAGCTCTGGTTCCACAGAGACCCATCTGGAATTCAAGTCACTCATTCAGCTCTAATTGATTCTAAATAATGCAGCTTTAATCAGTTCCAGGAGCTTTTATCAACCTGATCCAGCTCCTTTAACTCCAGATAAAAACATGCAGGATGTTCCTTTAACACATCGACTTCTAGTCAAGGTGCTGAACATTTCTACACACGGCTGGATGGATCTGTAGACCTGTTCCTGTTTTCATCAGGACCACGGCGGGGGGATCCTGGACCTGAGCGAGGACCTGGATAAAGACGAGTGCAAACAGGAGCCGGAGGCCGTTTATGAGACCAACTGTCACTGGGAGGGCTGTTCCAAAGAGTACGAGACCCAGGACCAGCTGGTCCATGTGAGTACCCCTACATGGACTCAGTACCACCAGACATGGACTCAGTACCACCAAACACTGACTCATTACTACCAAACACTGACTCAGTACCACCAAACACTGACTCAGTACCACCAGACATGGACTC